GGCGTCGGGCGTATTGGAGGGCAGGATGGGAGCGGGAGCGAGAGCGAGAGAGAGAGAGAGAGATGGAGAGAGACGCATCTATGAAGCGCGAGGTAAAGAGAGGAGAACAGCCAACACTTTTGGTGGCAAGTGCTCGATGAGTGTACAGGACGCCATAGCGTGAGGCACCTGGTGCCCCCAAGGCTTGGGAGAGTGGTAACGTGTGGCGCACTCTTCTGCATCGCGTCGCGGTGTCTTTCCTTGTGTTCGTCGTTGTTTTCCTATGTTAATCTTCTTCCCTCGTCCTGTTTTGGGGCTTCTCTAGGAGCTTTTGGAGGCCTCTTGGAGGCGTCTTGTTGACCACTCGGAGGCTCGTGGGCGACCCGTGGGCAGTTTTGGGCATTCTTATTTATGACGCCTTCGGAGTCCGCGTCGGGGGTCTCTATGAGCCGTCTCGGGGCCCTCTGGAGGCCTTGAAAGGGTTTTCCTGGGGATCTCTTAGGCAGTCTTGGGGCCTCCCTAGGCAGTCTTGGACATCTCGAGGAACTCTTGGGCCGTCTCGGGGGCCTCATTGGCCATCATGGAGCCATCTTGGAGGCCTCTTGGGCCGTCATGGGCCGACGGAGGCCCAAAGAGGCAAGTTTTTTATCGGCGACATGGGCGGCAAGCGCGATCGCCGACGCCCGGCGCGGAGCACCTTTGGTCGGGCACTGTGGGACGTCGCGCGACGCGCCGCGCAGCCCGACAGGCGAAGTCCGCCACGCTGCCGCCGGCGCAGCGCAGGCCTCTCAGGAACAGCATCGCCTGTCCGCACGCCAGCAGGCGCTCTCGCCATCCCAGACAGGCACAAACCAGCATCGCCGCCGAGGTCTCCGCGATGCCGCCGCAGCGCAGGCAGCAAACCTGCCCGGGCCCCCGCGCGAGGGAGTAGGGTCACCATGAGCGGCCGCAAAGAATTCGGCGAGCATGGCGCCGGCGCTGACGCGGACGCCGCGCGAGCGCGAACTATTCGCTGGGCCGCCAGCGAGGCCGTCGGCTGCGTTGCCACGACGGTCGCCTCGCCGATCCCAGGGCGCCGTGTCTCAGCCCGCGTCTTGTGCGGATGCACCCAGAGGGCCCGTAGCCGCCCGGTGCGCACGGCGCCCACCAACTGCAGCCACTGGTCTGCGTGCCCCCAGTCCCCCGCGTCGAAACTACTTGCGGTTTGCAGGCACCGTCTCTCCACACCGTGCCGCGAGGTGCTTCAGGGCGGAGCGCGGCCTGGGGCGGTAGCTTCGGGTCCTTGCTGCTCGCGGCCTCAGCAAGGGCCGCGAGCAGCGGCGGCGTCGCTAGCACCCAGATCGCAACGACCCTGGCGGGCAGCAGTTGCCGCAGGGCCCCCGGCGTCTTCGGGAAGCGTTTCCATGGTGATGCAGCCAGCGCGGCGCGGCGCGCTCCCTCTCTAGGCTGGGTACAATCAGAGGCGATGCTCGAGGTCCTCGGTGGCCAGCCATCAGCGCGAGCAGGCACCAGCCTGGCCATTCCACTTCGCGGCAATGGCCTCGGTGACGATGCTGCCGCAAATCACGTCGCGCAGCGCGCTGGCGGCATCGGGCACGAGGACGTCGGTGGCAAGGAGGCGGCGCGTCGCCCACCTGTCCACACCGCCGGCCGACGCGAGGCGACCTTGCTGCACCCCGCTTGGTGCCACGCCACCAAAACCACGCGCCCTGCTGGGCGCCAGCCGTGCGGCGCCGTCGGCACGCCGACCCAGCGCCGCATGTCCCCGCCGAAGCCAAGCCCGCGCAATCTGTGTAACGCAGCAGCCACCGGCCCGGCGGCGCGCCCAGCTCGAGCGTTGATTGCGTCAGCCGTGCTGCGCCACGTGGCGAGGTCGATCTGGCCAGCCTCGAGCGCGCGCCAGCCCAGCCTGCAGCAGCGGCGCGGCGGTGACGGCCGCCCTGGCATTCAGGCGCCAGGCGGGGCTGAGCACATCGAGCACGGGGCCCATGACCAGGCAGATTTTGCGGCACGGCGCAGCCGCTCAAGCTCACCCGCTGCAGGGCGACCGCACGAAGAGCCGTAGATGCCCGCGTCCGTGCCGTCGGCCGCGCCCGTCAGACACCGCCAGTGCGAGGGCACTGACAGGCGGCGGAGGCGCTCGAAGCGACCGCAATCTAGCTGCGCCAGCGCCGCGGCCACGCGTTGTTTGCGCCGCTTGCTGGCGACTGCGGCGACTCCGAGATCCTGGAATCCAGCCCCCGCAGTGATCGAGGGCATCTCTTGCGGGAGACACCGCCGCACCAAGGCGGCCAGGTTAGCAACTTGCTTGCTATTGACCGCATGCAGTCGCCAGTCCGCCCGGGTGATGCGCAGGTCCTCGGCGACCGTCTCGGCAGTGGCATTTGGGTCTCCCCGCGCCCACAGCACGAGGTCGCCGACGTACACGCGACGCTTCAGACCCGCCCAGCGAGCTGGCTCAGCACGAAAACTGCTCCAGCGCAGGCTGTGACAGACCCGCTGGTTGGTTCCCGCGGGCCACCGAGGGCGCCATCGACGCGCAGCCAGCGGGGAGCCGTGTAGGTGGCGAGGGGCGGGCCGCGTAACCACTCACGCACGCCAGCTCGCGTCAGCACCCGCTCCAGGAGCTGCATACTGACGTGGTGTCTCTCCAGCTGCCTCCGCGGCCTCGAGCTCCAGGGTGAGGTACCGCGCGACTTCTTCGGACCCGGTGATGCCGTCAGCGTCGCCCCACGCCGCTCGCCATCTCGGCTTGTGGCCTAGACGCGGTACAGCATGGAGAGCAACCGTATCGGCTTGCGGTCCATAGGCCAACCGGGAAGGAGCAGGGGCCCCAGCAATTCCTGCGGCCAGCGGCTCGTCTTCTCGACGGAGTCGGAAAGCCCCGCGGTCCACTCGAGCAGCTCGAGGGGCAAGAGGCGAAGCTCTGCGACTGCTTATCCGCCATCCTTTTGGGGGATCGCCTGGATCAGGTCGGCCGTTTAAGGCACCCTATCCAGGTGCGGGGGCAAGGGGTCCAGCTCGACGAGCCATTCTTCATGGTGGGGAGTCCCGCTCTCAGAAGCCAGTACCAGAGAGCAGCACTGATTTAGAGTGCTTCGTTTCCTTCCTGGACCTTGCCAGGGGGGCTTTCAAGGCGCCCCTTGGGTAATTCTTTACGCTTCGCGTATCCCCACCAGCCCATCTCACAGCAGCAACTCTTGCGAAGCATGCCGACAGTCGTGTTGTTCAGGCGTGTGTCCGCGAGGCCCCGCATATTTCCCCTGTTCCTCCTTCCTCCCGCCTCCTTGTACATCCTCCTTGTGGGGGGAGCGGGAGAAGGACGAGGCGGAGGAGGAGGGAGAGAAAGCGCTCCTCGTGATTTGAGTCGTTTGGGGTTTCTCGTCCCGGTGTGAGTCGTTCGGGCCCTTCTTCCTGGTGTGAGTCGTTCGGGCTCTTCGTGGTGTGAGTCGTTCGGGCTCTTCGTCCTGGTGTGAGTCGTTCGGGCTTCTCGTGGTGTGAGTTGTTCGGGCCCCTCATCCTGGTGTGAGTCGTTCGGGCCCCTCCTCCTGGTGTGACTCGTTCGGGCTCCTCGTGGTGTGAGTCGTTCGGGGCCCGCGTCGTGGTGTGAGTCGTTCGGGCTCCTCGTGGTGTGAATGGGTCGGGCGCCTCGTCCTGGTATGAGTCGTTCGGGCTCCTCCTTGTGGTGTGAGTCGTTCGGGCTCTTCGTGGTGTGAGTCGTTCGGGCCCCTCGTCCTGGTGTGAGTCGTTCGGGCTCCTCGTGGGGCCTCTTGGGGGCCTCTTGGGGGCCTCTTGGGGCCTCTTGGGGGCCTCTTGGGGGCCTCTTGGGGGCCTCTTGGGGGCCTCTTGGGGGCCTTGGGCCTCTTGGGGGCCTCTTGGGGGCCTCTTGGGAGCCTCTTGGAGGCCTCTTGGGAGCCTCCTGGGGGCATCTTGGAGCCTCTTGGGGGCCTCTTGCGACCTCCGCAGAAGCGGAAATGGGCGCTACCCCCTGAGAAGGACAAACTGAGCCCAAAACCTTCGTAAAATCAATGATTTTGAGAACAAGGAAGAGGAGCGCTGCCCCCTCAGAAGGCCAAAATGGGGCCGAAACGGTAGTAACATCAATGATTTTGGCTTCACAGAAGAGGAGAGGGTTCTATGTGCGTCCCCCCGTCGGGGGCAGAATCCTCGTGAGGGGTGTCGTTTTTTAGCCCTCCCAGGAGTCGAAAAAGACCGCCCTGGCCACGCTCGGCCCGCCCTCTCCAGGTCCAGGGGGAGGGGGTAGGGGGAGGGGTAAACCCCTCCCCGAAGGGGAAGAAGGGGGGTTGGGGGGTTGAGGACAGAGAAAGCTCGCTAAACCACTCACGCCCAAAGGGCTGGTGGGATTCGTGGGGTCTCGTATGGCATGCTGGGGGGCATGTTGGAGTACCTTCGTGTGGCCGTCCTGCTGCTTCGGGGCCGCCTGGGGACCCCGAGCGCAGGGTAGGCAGTGTTGTACATGTGTTCTGTGCGGGGGGACGGAATGTGCACGCGATGACCGGGAGGTCGTCCTCGGGATAATGCAGTGCAGCTGGCACAGGGGGGCTTGTTTTGCAGGTTTACCCATCTGTTCATCGCGGCTGGGCCTTCCACCTTGGAGCGTTTTTCGGTACCAGTATATTCGGGGGCATTTCGCCGTCATCGAAGGCTCTCATGTTCTTGACGCGCGTTTTCGCTGCCATGTTTTGATCGCACCCCTAGCAGGCTGCAGACATATTATTGAACATATCGGACAGTGACGAGGGGATGGTGCCAGGTATGTGCACGCAGATGTATTGACTTGTCCCCACTGCAGCCTTAAGCTGCAAGCTCGCTCTCTGTGAGTCGCAGCAGGAGATGGAGAATGCAAGAGGGGATCAGGGGACTGCTTTCGAGGAGTTTGGGGCAGGGTCAACAGTCGTGCGAGGCAGCTGGTAGGAGGATAGTGGCTAGAGGTTCGCTCATTTCAGTCGTATGGTCGTATGGCTGTCTCTGCCCCTGTGGTCCTTGGCCTGCGCGCGCAGGAGAGTTCGTACAGGCACGTTCGCGCGGCCGTCCGAGAAAGGACCCATGCGCGTTGCCATGAACAGGGCGTGACGGAACGGAGAGCGCACGTGGATTCAGCGCGAGTTTAGCCGCGCTGGGTTCGGGAAGAGAAGAAGAGGGAAAGGAGGTTGAAGGCACTCTTGAGCGGTGCAGCACTCTTGAGCATCAGTACGCCTGCAGATCTTATACTCTTTGCCTTCTCGGGCTCTCCACCTGTCCGCTCCTCTTTGCTCCCCTTGCCACCAGAAAGACGCTACAGGCTTTGCCCCTAGAGTCCACTGAACACAGAAAAGGAAATTATACGAAGGGGGAACAGATGAGACGATGGAGATCTCTTATCCTCGCCGCGTAGCTGCGGTGAGTCCTTCTGGACGCTTATCTTAACACATGGTATGCACTTGTTGTTTGCATCCTTGTAGGGGCCACTGCCGGCCGCTGAAGGCCACTAGAGGCAGTCTGCAGGCGACTAACGGCCATTAGAGGCAGCTCGTAATATTGTACAGGTCGCTAAAAACAGCTGAAGGCTACTGCATCGAGGCGGTATATGTCAGAATGAGCGTCCAAAGAGCCTCACCCAAGCCAGCGTTGCACAAGGCGCGTGGCTTTGCCCACCCCTCGTGCAACTTTGCGTCCACAAGGCAGCATGGCCGCATGGGCGCGTGCGCGCGTGTGCGTGTCCGTGTGCGTGTGCTTCTCGCTCGTGCCTGGCGGCCTCCCTTGGGTCTGCGCATGTGGCGGCGCAAGGCCTTCAACAGCGGCCGCGCCGGTGCGCCAGAACGTGTCGGTGTGTGCAGATCGGGGCCACTCGCTCAGCCAGTCTCGGCGACGAGTTGCCGCACGGACGCCGAGCGAAAGGCTTCCGCGGCAGGCCTGCGTGCAGGAGCTCCGCGCCCGCTCCCCGCTCCCCCCACCCGTTCTGCCTCTGCCTTTTCTCGACCGTCGCCCTGCGCTTCTCCGTCGCGGCGCCTCTGGCCCCATCCGACGCGCCGTCACCGTGGACACACACGGAGGAGCCTCGCGCCCAGCCGCCGCTCGCCCTTCGTGTTTCTTTTTGTGTCTCCTGCCTTCATTGTTGGCCTCCTCCGACCCGGCGCCTCAGGCGATCGCTCTGCCCCTGCCGAGGACCTGTCCAGGCTGGCGGCATTTCGCCGCCGATGGCGCCGCTCGAATCCCGCACGCCCTTCCCTCGGCTGCTCTCTGGGCTTCCAGGCGGCTTCCCGTCCCCGATCCTCGAGTCCCCGAACAAGAAAAACCATTGGCCGCCCAGAAGAGGCACTCGAGGATTCACTCCCAGGGGACTGTTCGGGCGCACGCCTGTCGAGAATGGGCGCCCCCCCGATCGTATCTCCCCGAGTTGGGCTGTGCCCCATGCCTGTGCCGCCGCCGTTTCGGGACGCTCCGGGACGCTCCGTGCGAATGCTTCCTATCTGATTGCTCGTGAGCCTCACCTCGAGGAGGCAGGAGGGGGGTGAGGAGGGAGGAGGAGGAGGAGGATGATGATGATGAGGAGGAGGAGGGGGGAAAAGGAGGAGGCCGAGTGGGCTTCCATATTGTATTTTGGCCCAGGCGGACGGCCCACAACGTCTTGGATTCGGGTCCCCACGCACCCCGTTGTGGGCCGCGCCTGGCGACCGCCGCTGCGCCGCCTCGGACGTCCCGCCGCCCGTGGGCATCACCTGGCCGCAGCCGACGGTCCGCCGACCGCCGTCACCTCCACCGCTCCCCGCAAGGGCCGCCTTCTCAGGGCGACGGGATGTATACCCAGACCCCCTCGAGTTCTGACGAAATCGCGACGGTGTGTTTGTTCTTTATCTTCGGCCTCTGGGGACCCTTGCCAGGCCTCAGGACCGTCAACAAAACTATTCAGTCGGGGGAACGTGAGACTCCAGTATGCCAGAACTCGGGCTTGCCGACGTTTTTTGACGAGCGCGTCATGGATTGTGACGGTCAGATGTTCGTGGGTTGTTTGCAGCGGGAGCTCCCGTCAAATTTCAGATTGTGTCTCGTCATTTGCATGATGACCCCGTCAGGCCAACCCGAGTCCCCCGTACCGGAGTCTTACGTCTCCCCGACTCAGGATGACGGTCCCGGGGAATGGGTCGCGTCCTCTGGGGGTCAACGCTCTGAAGAAAACATGACGCCCCGGGTCTGGGTGCATATCCACTGCCAAGGGCCAGGGAGCCATATGTTATGTCGCCAACCTGGGGAACTGTAGACTGTCTTCGAATTGGGTCTTTTCGTTGAAGATACCGGTGCTTAGCGGCACTTAGCGGCGCGAACGCTTGCGGCCCCGATGGGGCCCGCGGTATCTTTCGCGCGCCCGTCGTTTCACGGAGGTCGGCGACCCCGAGCCTTGGAGCGCGTTTCTTTATTGTTTGAGGCATGACGGGCGTCATGGCCCCCGGACCCCCCCCCCCTATGACGTAACGCTCCCCCCCCCCCAGTGCGTTCCGGGCACTGCCGCCGTGCGCATCGTGATCCACATAGGCGTCCGCATAGGAATCCACATAGGAGTCTGGTCCGCAGTCGTCGTCGTCGTCGTCGCCGCCGTCGTCGTCGCCGTCGTCGTCGTCGTCGTCGTCGTCGTCGTCGTCGCTCGTCGCCCGTCGTTCGTCGCTCATCTTTGTCGTGCGCGCGGATGCAGCTGGAGCCTATTTTTTCTTTTTGTTCCAGGCCGATGACAGCAATCATCCGGGGGGGGGGAGGGGGCCGATGACGTCACGTTTCGCGCCGGGAATGGCCGAGGACTGGTAGCAGCAGCATGTCGGTGGCGGTCTGCACCACAACGCCGTACACCACAGTGCCTGCGTGCACCACAGCCCCTGTGTACACCACACCGCCCATGTACACCACAGCATCCGCGTGCAGCACAGCGCCAATTTGTGCCACAGTGCCTGCTGGCACCACAGCGCTTGTGTACACCACAGCGCCTGCGTACACCACATCAGCCGTGTGCAACACACCACCAGTATACACCACAATGCTTGCGTGCACTACAGCGCGTGCGTACACCACGGCGCCTGTGTGCACCACAGCAATCGTGTGCAACAACGCACCAGTGGTGTATATACCACGTTATAAGGAATCCTTATTACAAAATGGAGCGCCTGTGAAATTAACAGGACAAATGTTTGAAATCGGATTTGGAAAGAAATCCCGATTGAGAAAGGAGTGCCGCTGGAATCTACGAGTCTTCCGGAGTCCGCCCGCATCATCCTAATTCCTCCCATCTGTGTCCACGAGACTCCAGCTAAATTGGCCGTCCGAGAACCACATGGACTGATTCAATTGACCATTCTGCTGTGCACGCTGATGTAGTGCCGACCCGCACGACAGGGGGGATGGGTGAGGGAGGAGGAGGACGACGAGGTGGAGGAGGAGGACGAGGAGGAGGAGGAGGAGGGAGCGTGGGTGGAGGAGGGAGGAGGGAAAATTGTCGCATTCTATTATCAGTGTGCCCTGGCGTGGCGTTCAGCTGCCCGCAGCCGATCCTCACCGACATGCTTCTTCTACCTGTCCTGTGCACGCAGGCGCTCTGGTGTACACCAGCGCTGCGTTGCACGCGGATGCTGTGGTGTAGACACGCGCTGTGGTGTGCACAGGCGCCGCGGTGCACGTAAGCATTGTGGTGTAGACAGGCGTTGCGTTGCACATGGCTGCTGCGGTGTACATATTCGCTGTGGTGTACACCGGCGCTGTGGTGCACGCAAGCGCTGTAGTGTACACAGGCGTTGCGTTGCACATGGCTGTTGCGGTGTACGTAGGCGCGGTGGTGTACACAAGCGCTGTGGTGCACGCGAGCATTGTGGTGTACACAGGCGCTGTGGGGCAGATCGCCACCTACATGCTGCTCGCGTCGTCGTCGTCGTCGCTCGTCGCTCGTCGCTCGTCGCTTGTCGCTCGTCGCTTGTCGCTCGACGCTCATCGTCGTCCTGCGCGCGGGCGCGGCTGTGGTGCCGGAGCCACGGGGCGGGGGGGGGGCGTTACGTCATACCGCCCCCCGACGCGCGTCATCGCCGAGAATAGAGAAACGCGCTCCTGATTTACATGCCCGTGGCCCAGATGGGGCCACGCGGCCACAAATGCCACTGAGTGGTAATTCTCGGAACCACTAACGGCCGCTCAGTGCCACTGAATGGTAATTTTCGGAACCACTAACGGCCGCAAAGTGCCACTGAATGGTAGATCTCGGGCTACTGAGTGCGGCTAAATGGTATTCTAATTCTTGGAGCCACTAATGGCCACTAAGTGCCACTCAATGGTGATTCTCGGAGCAACTAGCTGCTGCTACGTGCCACTAAATGGCACTTCTCGGAGCCACTGGGTGCTACTAAACGGCCGCTACAGGCCGCTAGCGGCCACTAAGTGCCAGTAAATGGTAATTCTCGGCGGTCGCGATGGTCAATCCGAAGTTCCCCATAAAACCCATATAACATATGCACCGCTCCTAGGGCCTTGGATGGGCCTGGCCTGGGGCAGTAGATATGTAGGTATATATGTGTGTATGCATATGTAAACATAGTTCGACCCATATGTATATGCACATACATACATATATATATGTATGTATCTATGTATGTATGTATGTATGCATGTATGTATGTATATGTATGTGTGTTTGTATGTATGTATGTATGCATGCATGTATGTATGTATGTATGTATGTATGTATGTATGTATGTATGTATGTGTATATATACATGCATACATATATATATATATATATGGATGTATGGTTTACTCTAGTTCTATGTGTAGATATAACACATATATATATGTGTATATCGACATATATGTAGATGCAGGTATATAAGTGCCTACATACATAGTTGTTTAAATGCATACGTTTGCGAAATGTAAATATACATACATACATATATATAGTGGCATACATACGTATGTGTATATATCGATATCTATACAGATAAACGTCGACAGATCGATATCGTCGCTGTTCTCCTCCCCTGTCACAAACGCCGAAGGTATTCAGATCCGCGCCCTCAAGTTCGGGATCCCAGGGCGCGATCCCGTGGATACGCGGTCGCACGGGCAAACGTTCCGCGCGGGGCAGCCACGGAAACGACAACGTGCATCGCAGCCACGGGATCGCGGCCCAGAGGCTTTTCCCGCGAGGCCGCGCATACGGATACATTTTCGACCACGATCCTTGCGAGGGCCCCAACTCCCCCCCCCTCGGCCCAAAGAAGAGACACTTCATGAAAATCAGCTTCCACGGGACCGCGCGGCTCGTGCGCTCCGTTTTTGGTCCTCCCCACGTTTGCCCCCTCTACGCGCTGTGCCCTTCGTCGTAGCTCCGCAGCACCGCTCTTGCATCGCATCGGCGCACTTTGGAAACGTGCGTGTGTAAGAGAGTGTGTGTGTGTGTGCTCTTTCCTCCCTCGCCTCCTGCACGGCCGCCCTCGTCCTTGTCCCTCTCTCGCACGCCAGCCACTTCGCCTTCCGGTGGCCCCGAATTGCCACACGTTGGAGCGGATTGCATCTGCCTCGCAGCCGACGGAAAAAGTGTGTGGTGTGTGTGTGTGTGCTTGTGTATGTTTGGATGCGCCCAGGCGCCTCGGCGGCTTCTGAGCGCGTCTCCAGCTGCCTACGCTGCGTCGCTGTGCGCGTGGTCGCGACGCCAAAATGTGTGTGATTGTGTGATTGTGTGCTGCGTGTGTGCAGTGTGTTTGTGCGTCTTGGGCTGGTCCACGGACCTTCCTCGACCTTGGCCCAGCTTCGCCTCGCTGCTGCACGCTTTGTTGCGACGCCAACACAGTGCATGGGCTTGTGCGCGCGCGTGTGTGTGTGTGTGTGTGTGTGTGTGTGTGTGTGTGTGTGTGTGTGTGTGCGTGTGTGTGTGTGTGTGTGCGTGTGTGCGTTCGTGCGTGTGTGTGTGTGTGTGTGTGTGTGTGTGCGTGTCTGAGAGCGTGTGTGCGTGCGTGCGTGCGTGCGTGTGCGTGCCCAGCCAGCCGCAGTTGCTTTCTGGCCTCTCGTCTGCATGTTTCGCCATCAGGGAGCGGGGCCCTGGCAGCGGGTCCAAGACCCTGGGGCTTTCCACGGAACAGGTCTTCATCCCAGGTAGTTTTTGACGATCCTGGGGCCCGTGGAGGCCCGGAACTTGCGAAAGTCTTCCAGGGCCCCTGTCGTACAGGACCCGTCGTGATCTTCGTGCTTTCGGCGCCCGTCGGGCTCACTTTTTTGCATCTCCTGCTGCGCGTTGCTGACTCGTTTGTCTCCATGCGAATCCGTTCCCTGCCTCGCTTAACCGACCCAGGCTCTCACCTCGTATTCCGTGGTGCCGTTGCGTGCCCGCCTCACGGCAAGTGTGGCAATTCGTTCGTTGTATTGCCCGCATCGTTTGGGCGCGCCAGTGCGTCACCATGGCGTCTGATGAAAAAGTGTATGCGTGCGTGTCTCTGTTGAGGCTCTCGGCTTTTGTTCACGCCCGCGCGCAAGGTGGTCAATTCGCTCTGCGTGGATGTGACCCGCCAGAATCCTAGCCTGTGATTGTACTGTGATGACGCCGAAGTAATTACCATTTTGCGCTCAGCAGAGGTTGTGGTTTTCGGTTCGTTCCTTAGATCTAGGTCGGGGAATCGGTTCGTGACCGAGGATGACCGTGGCCAGATCGGCCCTGTCGCTTCTTCTTCTTCTTTTTCTTCTTCTTCTTCACAGCGCCACCGATCCTTATGGTAACGCATTGCCTATGGCTCTGTCGGGGCCGGAGTACACATCCCATGGGTTGCGGGGGCACCAGGAGGCTGCAGCCAGCGCTTGGGGAGAAGGGTGGAGGCTCGTGCTGGGGAAGGCCCCCCGGTCCGGGATCTGTTCTAGGGGCCGCTTCTGTCATGCCAGCGGCAGGCGCCCGCCTGCATGGCGCCCACCGCGGGCGGAGGGGCAGAGTTCACAGCATGCGGCTTGATGTGGCTCTTTTTTGGTGTCGCCACCACTCTAAACTCGTATGGGCATGCCCCCAAAGAACCATACCCCAAAAACGACCACTCTAAACTCGTTTACGCACCCTCAGAAGAAATCCATTATATAGGGTGCCAGCATACTCTTCTTACGCATACCCAGCGACTTCACACGCACGCCTTACGCACTCAGGCCTAGTGTTGCCCCCCCAGAAACCTAATGTAATCCAGAGAGACCAAGCTTCCGATACCTCCGCGCAGCCGAGGACCTCCGAGACAAGCACACGGTCATCTGCATCGAGCGGGAGGGGTGGCCGGCCAGCATGGCCTTCTCGGTGCCGTTGTCGCAAGAGGGCGAGAAGGAGGTGTGCATTCACGTGGTTGACGTCAACGAGTCCGCGCCCCCCTTGCATGTCGAATAATTTTGCTGTACCATCTAGCGAAGCCGTATGGCAGGGAGACAAGAATCGAACGGTGGGGCGGGGAAACGGCGAGGAAAGGTCCAGGCGCACGGCTTGCAGCCCAGCTGCGTGCACTCCTGACTCGCATGGCGCGCTCAAGCCCGTGCCTTCTCCAGCACGCGTGTCAACGTTTTGCCCCTGCTGGGGCTCGTCAGGACCCGAGTGAAACTGGCAGCGGCACGCGAACACAGCAGGTGCGCATGACATTTTTCACCCCTCGAAGGAGTCCAGCGGCAGAGAGCGGTCGAGGAGGGGAGGGGGAGGGAGGGGAAGGGAGAGGGCTGGGGGGGCGGGGCGGCACGCGGCGTGTCTCACAGGCCGTCCGAATTCCGAATTCTAGTCCGGCGGCCCCGGGCGCTGCAGCAGGCGCGCGCAGCGCCGCGCGCCGCTCGGCCTCGCAGCCGCCTGCCCGGACCGTGGGCAGCAGCAACAAGGCTGCCGACCGCGGCGGCAGCGCGGCGGCCCAGCCCGCGCCCGGCGTCGCCGCCAGCCGCGGCCACGTGGGCGCGGACGCCCCGCAGCGCATGCAGGCCACCCAGCCAGGGCCATGCGCGGCGGCGTGCAGCTGCCAAGCCTACCCCGCGAACAGAGCGGCGCAGCGGGCCCTGTTGCCGCCGCCGCCGCCCGCACTGCCTGGCGTCGCCGTTGCTGCGGCAGCTCCGGCCGCAACGCCCTGCGGCGGCACGCCTAGCTGGGCGCCGAGCGCGCCCCGCCAGCCGCGGTGCCAGCGCCCCAGCCTGCGCGCCCGAGGGGCCACGCCGGCGTTGCTGTGGTTGACTTGCAGCACTGCCAGCTCCACCTCTGCCAGCAGCCGCTGCGCGAACTCCAGGGCGCGCAGTCGGTTGTCCCGCCCAGCAAGCAGCGCGGGCGGCGGGAGCCGCGCCCGCGCGCAGCCCGCCAGCTGGTCAGCGGCGGCGTTGCCAAGGCGGTCCTCCTCAGGCATGCCTTGGACCTTGGCGGTGGCCGCGTCGAGATGCCCTTCGATCCATCCCGCTTCGAGGTGCCCAGTCTGGCAGTGCGGGGCCAGCAACTCCCAGATCTCCGCATGTGCCCACTACGCCGTGGACGCCCCCGCCCGGAGCGCCGCGACCCTGTTGCTGACGAACCTTGCTCGAGGCGCGCCGCGTGCAGAGCGGCTGTCAGCTCCTCCCTCTGCGCCGTCTGCGGCCCGTCGGCTCGCCCGCTGCTGTCCTGCGCGCCGCTAGGGCCGTCGAGCCGTAACCCCCCAGCAAGTGCACATACTGTGGAGACCCATGCCAGGAAGCACCCTGCTTGCCTCCAGGGTGCCCAGGGTTTTTTGCGTGACGTTCCCACACCAGGAATCCATGGATGTCCCGGGGTCTCAGGTTGAGTTTCTTGCGGAGGGTTTCTTGTGGACTGGCCTCCATTGTAACACAATGTTGCGCCCCAGTGCGATGGCAAACATAAGCATGCTCGCACTCGGCGTGCAACAGCTCCCCTGTATTGGACGACGGCTGCTTCTGCCGCCGTGTTCCTGTACGGAGACGACAGAGAGGGGCGGGGCGGACAAATCGTGCCCCCCCTCCACTGGCACGACTGGGTGAACCCGGAAATGAAAGCCCAGGGCCCAGCCTCAATCTCACCCCCACACTGGGAAAGGTTATTGGGACCATGTATAGCTGTAGCGCTGGCGAAATGCATTCGTGTCGACTGAACAGGACGCTACATAGTGACTTTGCGCGCCACAGGCTACGTTCAGTAAGCTCGCAGGCCTATGCAGTACTTTGCCGACGGCTCTCGTATTCAGTCCTGCCTTACTTGTACTTCAACTTGGCATGGAATTCTTTTGTGGGCGCTACCTCTCTTAGGCGCGTGTTCCTGTGCATGGCGTGCCTGGCTCTAGCCAGATGCCCGCTCAGGAAGCTGATGTGGTACCCACGCTCACGCAGGCGTTCTCTGAAGGAACGCCCAGTCACGATCCAGGCGGGCCTGACTCTGTGTCCGTCTGGCGGTGCGGGTTGCATCGCCCACAAGCAAACCTTGAAAGACACCGGGGAGACGATTCGAGGTCGCAGGGTGATACAGATAGAGGTTGAGCTCTTTTCTGTGGAGGTCGAAGCACACAGGTCCCTGCTCTTCTGTCTCGATGTTGAAATCCAGGAGTGTGACGACGTCCCTGCCTGTCCTGAGCCACTGTGCATCTCTGTGCCAAGAACTCGCCAGCATGTCGATTCCTTTCATGTTGCATATCGTATGACATGCGTGAACGCGTCGTAGATGTAGCGGAACTGATGTTGCATCGTCTCCCGCTCGTTTGTGTGAAGGGAGGCGTCGAAATCGTGCGTGCACATGTTTACGACGATGACCGGCCGGTGAAAGACCAGCTGGTGAACCTCCACCAGGGGCGGTCTTTTATACCCTTGGTCAAGGGAGGAAAAACCACCCGGACCCAACAACTGGCGTTTATTGAATGGCCTTGGGCGTCTACTAAACAGCTTTGCCCCGTTCGATTCCTTCTGTGGGTGCGTTTGCTAAACGGCTTCGCGTGTCGGGTTGATCATCGCGGGGGTGGATGTTCTCCCCTCTAACCGCAGAGGGTCTTTAATGTTGCACCCCCCCTAAGCTCTCTGCGGGGAATAGAAGCTCGTCCCTCCTCCCTCCTCCTTCCCCTCCCTCCTCCTTCCCCTCCGTCCTCCTCCTCCTCATCCTCCTCCTCCGTAGCCATTTTGGCTCAAGTTCGAAACCTTGCCGCGAGGCTTCGAGCTTGTCCGCAGCCGTGCGGCAGGCTCGGACGGTTCTGGCGTGTGTGCTGCCCACCGAGCCGCACG